CCCCAAAACCCCAAAACCCCAAAACCCCAAAACCCCAAAACCCCATAAAAATATAAAGTATAATAAATATTCCCAGAGAAGAAATGTCAAAAGCTTCAGAGTTTTTGAAGAATATCCAGAGGCCAAAGTCAGGCCTCACACATAGCATCGCAGATGATGCTTCCTACTTCAGTGAACTAGCTGAAGAGGAGACCGTAAATCATGTCAAAAATCTTCAGAGTGGCGAAGCCAATATTATGGTGGCAGTCAGAGTCAGGCCTGTGTCTAAAGCAGAGCTGAAAAAGGAGCTTTACCCTATTGTCAAGGTCATGGATGACAAATTTATAACAGTACAAGATCCCTCTACTGGGCCTGGTGACGGAGAATTCGCAACCAACCAAGCATCTGGAGGGGTCAAGGAGAAACAATATGCTTTTGATTATGTGTTTGATGAGAATACTGAGCAGAAGACTGTTTTTGACAAGACTACACAGATCTTACTTGATGGGGTTCTTGATGGGTACAATGCCACGGTCTTTGCTTATGGAGCCACCGGTGCTGGAAAGACTTATACCATGCTTGGGACGCCAACTGAAAAAGGCATTTTTGGTAACTCCTTCGAAGAGCTATTCACTCAGATGGAAGATCATAGTAAAGACAAGGAGTTCAAAATCAAGATGAGCTTCATTGAAATTTATAACGAAATGATTTTTGATTTATTATTACCAAACGAGAAACCTCTCGAGCTAAGAGAAGATGCTACCAAAGGCATCCACGTTGCTGGAATCTCAGAGATCCGGGCTGAAAGTACTGGGGAAGTCTTAGAACTTCTTCACCTTGGTAATCAAAACAGAAGTACCGAAGCCACTGATGCCAATAATGAAAGTTCAAGATCGCATGCTTTGTTACTAGTCACAGTCGAGCATAAAGAACGAAATTCTGGAACTGAGGCTGAAATTAAAGTTGGGAAGTTCTCATTAATAGATCTTGCTGGGTCCGAAAGAGCTTCCAATACAAACAACACAGGAATCCGGCTGGTTGAAGGAGCAAATATCAACAGATCTTTACTAGCTTTAGGTAACTGTATTACTCTCTTATACCAAAACAGTGAAAAGAAGAGTAAGAAATACATCCCTTTCAGAGATTCCAAACTCACAAGGCTTTTAAAAGACTCCTTGGGAGGGAACAGTAGAACAGTTATGATTGCTAATATTTCACCATGAAATAGTGTATATGAGGAGACTAGCAATACTCTGAAGTATGCGAGCCGTGCTAAAAACATCAAAACAGACGTTCGAAGGAACGTTCTCAGTGTATCATTTCACGTGAGTAAATATCAATCTATCATAAACAGCCTGAAGAAGCAGGTAAATGAACTAAAGGACGAGCTAGCCCAGCAAGATCTAGACAGCAGTATGAGTAAACCTCCCAAAACAGCCAAGGATGCTAAGACATTCGATCAACTCCGAAAAGAGATGGAGGACAACTTCCAGAAAGAAGTCGAAAACAGGAAGAGCTACATGGAAAATGAAAGAGTTCTCATCGAGGCCAGTATAAAACTCTTCCAGCACAAGACAGAATTTGAGAAATATAACAAAGAGTTTGGCAAAACACATGTCAAGACTAAGCAAGCTGACGAGAACATAAAAGCCGAACAAAAAGTGATAGAGAAATGAAATGACGTGCGGGAATAAAATTTAACAATACTTGGGAGAACTTGAAGAAGTACAGAGAAAAATTACCTCAAATTATGAAGAAGAAAAAGATCAAAGACCTCCAGCTCGCGATGCTACAGGTCATTTCTCAAAATCATGCAACTTCAATTGAAAATATTACTTTGAAGAATAAGGAAGAAATTGAGATGGGAAAAGCAAAAGCGAAGGATATTGAGCTGAAATATCTTCAAGAAATGGTAGCTATTCGAGATTCCGTGATAACACAGACTAAGAAACAACTACAGAGTAAGAAAATGGAACTGATAATCGAAGAAGACAACCTTGAGACACCTGAAGATATTCAGAAAAGAATGAAAATTTCATTCCCATCGCTTACCTATTCAAATACTAATTTGAGTAACACTATGAGGAATCGGAACAGAAGTGTTAGTGTCAGGGTTGAAGGCAATGGAGGAGATACAGCTAGTGACCTCAGCATGCCGACTGTAGTGGGCAATGCTAAGCGTATCTCATCCACTCTCAAATTGGCAAAGCCTATTGTGAGGAAGAATAATTATATCCAGAGTAATTTGAGATACATTAAAGGACACAAGAAAAATGCAACTTTGGGAAAGAACAAAAACACATCTTCATTGCCAAAATTATCGATTGGAAATTTTGATAAGCCGAAAATGATGAAGAAGCCGTCGATTGTGATAGGGCCTCATCCCAAGAAGCCGTACTTGAAGGTGAAAGGAACAAGGAAAATGTTTGAGAGAGCTGCATCACCTGGTGGGGCAAGTACGCTCAGTGATAGAACGACAACCAGCTTACCTCAGATAGTGAAATCTGATACTGAAACATCATCTACAAAGCAACCTATATCGTACAAAGATGCTGTGAAGAAAATTAAGAGTAGCAATAAGAAAGAAATAAAGGCTAAGGACAGAATGAGGCTTGATCGGTTTAAGAAGGAAAACTTTATATACAGCGCAGCTCCAAAGAAACTATCCTTAGCTGAGAAGTACAAACCTATTAACCCTCCAGCACCTGTAACAAGCCATAATACGCCTAATAATTACCTGAGCAAGTTTAATAATCCACCACCAAACAAGAATATTGTTAAGAAAGAAGAGAAAAGGGGAGATAGTTCGATTCCAGGCCTTTCATACACTGAGAGGATGAAAAATAATATCTCAAAGCTGAATTTATTAGGTGGAGGAGATACTTCAAACAATAAGACGCCTCTTAAAGGGATCCTCAAGAAGAAAGCTCCACCTATGGGTGCTGTTAACAGCATTAATAGTATGAATCTGAAAGCGAACACTATCGCTAATTCTAAAAGTCGTAAATTTTACTAGGCTTTAGTATAATTTATTCAATAAATCTCAGATGAATTGGGGTTTTGGGGTTTTGGGGTTTTGGGGTTTTGGGG